TGTAGAGTTCATCCAATTTCTGAAAAATCATTTAATTTTGCTTTGTCTTCAAGGGAGCCCCTCATCCTCCCATGCCAGATGGAGCAGCTCCAAAAAAAAAATTTGTCAGCTACTACCATTCTCAGAGCTGGAGCTGTGACATCCACAGAGAAGTGTATGAAATGGACAAAGCTGTGCAAGGAGTCATGCAACTTATTGAGGCCATGGGATGTGGCAGGAATTGCCCTTTAAATTTGATGATTGCCTTGGGGATAAAAAGCCTGTATTCAATCAGAATGAGAAAGCAGAACCTCTTATCATAGAGCACTCACTGCATGTGTTGGGATAAAGGCTTCTAGACAGCAGGTGAAACCATTGAAAATGAGAGGCTGAGAGGCTCATGCAGTTAGGCATGAACCAAGTTCCTCTGTCATTCCTGAAAGCAGTTGTCGTTAAAGCAGATTTTCTCTGACACCTTGCAAAGTCGTGATCCTTGCTAGTTGTTTGCTTTACCCTGAAATCTTCCAAGCCTTGAAATCTGAACAGCAAGTCTATGATGCTGCAGATAAAATTTGAACTGCGATGGGCATTTATGAAAGCAGAGATGAGCTTGATGAAATGGAAAGAAAAGCTGAGAAAATGGCAGAGCTGAGCCAGACCTTTGTTTACAATCACTATCTCAGAACAAATGGATTTGAAAATTATCATATTCAAAGCTACGTAGTGTCACCAAAATGCAGGAAGTGACTACAGTGCTGCAAGACACTCCTAAATGAGACCTCACTGTAAAGTGAGAACTGAAAAAGGAAAACAACGATTCCAACAGAGAAGGCGATGAACCACCTATTAGAAATATAAATGTGCATGCAGTGATGAAGCACCTCTGCACCTCCCAAAGACCGTGTCCCACTCCCGGTGAAGCACTGGGAGTTTTTACAGAGCAACGTGCAGTGGCGTGGACTCTGCACTGTCAGAAGGCGCAGGGACTCGGAGACTTGAGCTGCATTCACATGGATGTGGTAGAAATGGGAAGGAGGGCAGGGAGGCCTTTCCTCATGGTAGGAAGGTGCCAAGGAAACGAAGGACTGAAACGACTCTTGTTCTGCAAAACCTTGTCCCTGTGCGTGCAGAGCCTGATCACTGCCGAGACAACTGCCTGGTGCAACTTTTCCGAGTTCAGTTCAGGCAGGCTCCTCAAGGGCCCCCATCAGCCTGCTCCGCTCCTCCCTGAGCCCGCTGCGCTGGGCGCTGCGCGCTCCTTGGCTGACACAAAGACGAACGCATACATTTTCAGCCATGAGTTCCTAGCACTTCGCGTTACCCGGGTCTCCCAAACAGAGCTCCCGCAGCGTGTAATACCGCAGCAGGCGCGTGCATTCCCTCGGAAGGGCGGGAGTCCTGGGAGCAGCCGGGCCCTGCGGTGCGGCCTGCGCTGCCCGCGGCCTGCCACGGCGGGGAGCTGGGGCAGCGGCCACGGCGCTGCGGAGCGGCTCGGAGCGGGGCACAGCACCTTCGCTCGGCCTCAGCCCGGGGGGAAGGGGCGGAGGGGAAGCTGGAGGAGGAAAGTGGCCACTGTGCTGAGGAACTGCGGTAGAGATGAGGGCGGTGGGATGTGGTGCAGCTCCTGTTGGAAAAGGGTGTGTTGAGGAGTGTGGGAATCCATAAAATCAGAGGGTTTTGGGAAAGCTGTGAAAGGCAGGCCTCAGAGACAGCAGAACTGTGATTAGAGTTAAGCAGTAGCCATAAAGTAAGTCAGCAGAAAAATTATGTAAAAAGTAGAAAAGTAAGGACAAATGGAACAATGGTATGTGTATTAACGCTTGCTTAGAATAACTCCCTAAACTGCAGGAAAGTATATCTAGCGAGATATTAGGAAGTTCTAAGCTTAATAATGGAGCTCTGTGCATTGTACCTTAAAGCTTACAAGCAGGTATTGTATTTGAAATAAGCAAGCATTGTTTTAACCAAAGGGACGCGTGCTTATAGTGGTTGGATGGAACTACTGTCAATATGCTTTTGTTTTGTGTGATTGGTCAAACAACTTACAAAGTAAGTTGTAACATTAAGTTCTTGGTCGGCTGCCTGGGATGTGGCATCTTCCTGTTGTCATAACCATGTAATGAGAATGTTGCTGGAAAATAAAATGGCTCAAGGCACGTTCCTAGCAGTCCCATCCTGTTCGTGATTTGTACATAGCCTCCAGCCGGCGATAGAGGAGGAGGGATGGAAGAGAGCGGACAGGATGTGTGGACAGGTGGACTTTTGGCTCCAAACTGTTCCATCTGGCACATGGAAATGTCTGGTGCTGGAAGAATAACTGGTGAGCTGGCTAAAACCAGCTCTGTTCTTGCTCCGTGAAAACACACGTTTTGAGAAGCTGCTAGGTGAGGAGAGGTGTCTGCTGCTGGCCAGACCTGAGATCAGAAAGAACCTGAGAAGTGTCAGGGCAAAGATGAGATTCCAGGAGTTCTGCCCTTTCCCACCCCATTTTTGCTCTAGAAACTGTCCCTCACCTCCTACAGGCAGGTGTTCATCTGCTGGCTTCCTGTGTCATGCCAAATGGTACAAGATGGATTCAGTCCTCCCTTGGGAGCTCCAGGGAGCCTGGCCATCACAAGTCCTGGCATTCCAGGTGGGCCTTCCTTGGCTTCTGGCATATCACCTACAGGGACCAGGGAAGCTGAGATGGGTTTGGGAGGGAGAAGACATGTCTACCTGAAAAGTGTCTCTTGTTCTGTAGTGCTGCCTTATCTCTCTTTTCTCCTTCGTGGAGCTGACATACCTAGGGGTGCAGCAAACTCTACTTTGGCTCTGGGTTTTTGAAACAAAACCTCACAGTTCTGGTTCGAGCACCTCCCATCTATGTCCTTCCTCTTCACCATCCTTCTCACTTTAGTCCAGGTTTCCCACCCTCTGATTGCCAGCCGGCACTGTCGCCTTCCCCTGGGATCTGTGTTTTTCCATGCATGGTGCATTCAGGTAACATGGCTTAGGACTGTCTGTCATAACCTTGACTTTTCAGTTGCTGCTGCTATTAACCATGTGTGCTCAAGTGGATGGATTTGTGCCTCTAGGTAGATTTCTCTTTTTCCTGGCATTTTTACTGCCTAGAGGGTGAGGCCCAACTCCAGTGTTGCTTGTGTCTAGGCAGTACCTGGCTCTTTGCAGCCTGGAATTGCAGACTCATATTAGTTACAAATCCCATGAAAACTGTGGAAAAGCAAAGACATTTTTTCAACAGAGACTAGTTACTCAGGTACTGCCACAAGCAGAGTTCTGCCCAAGAATTAATTTGCTATCTCAGAGTGGGTGCGCCTCATGCTTCATGGCCCGTCTGTCAAAATGGAGTATTCATGCATACCTTCCTTTCCAAAATGTTGGGGTGCACAGCTACATAAAGACATGTGAACAGAAAACAACAGGCAAACAGAATTTCTGCCTCTAATACTCTCCTCTGGCTGTCTGGTAACTCTGGAAGCCAGTGATCAGATAAACCTGGTCCTTACCTCTTGTCACAGTCTAAGGCAGTGGGTGGGGGCAATGGTAACACAACCATACTTTATATTTCATTTTTCAGGCAGAACTGAGGAGTTAGGAAGAACCCGTGCAGATTTCTTGTGTGTAGTACAGTAGTGGAAAAAGCAAACTCTCTGAGTTGCTGCCGGTGGCCTGCCTGAGAGCTGGGGATGCAGTAGGCTGCAAGGCCACAGAAGCGTGAATAAGTTGATGGGATACTACAAGAATGTCACTTGCAGAAGCAATGTGACTTTGAACCACACTTATATAGCAACTTTTTCCTTACAGCAAGATGAATAATCTGGTAAAATTACAGCTACCAGTTATCAATCCTCTGTGAGGACCTTCGATAAGGCAAATCTGAATCACAAAACCTGTGACTGTACCAAAATCTGGGCCACTGCAAGAAGCATACCCAGTGTTGCTGGAAAAAACCCCCAGGCTTCCCATATAAAAGTCAGCAAGCAATTTAATAGCCAGAAAGAAATAATCAAAGCAGGAGGAGTTTTTGGGTTTGGGGACAAGCTAAAAGGATTTTGCATGCCTCTTCCTTAAACTTGAGGAGTTCAGGAGAAAACTCCTCTTTCCAGCGATATGCCAAAGTAACTCTAATTTGAGAAGAAACAGAGAAGATCCTGATAATCCTTCAGCAGAGCAGTGTCAGGGGGATGGGAAAAGAGGAACCTGCCTCCCTTTTGATTATCAGCAATTTCTGGTGATTACCACCAATTTCTGGTGATTTCTGAATGGAGCCTTCTATGAGGTGTCACTGGGGAGGACTGACAGAGGTCTGACTACAGAGAAGCTGGCTAAATAATCCTCACTCCCATTGCTAACAACACCCTGGGGCAACATTCTCTGCTAAGCTGTGCGAGGACGTGCGTGCTGCTGCCTGTGATGTTTTGTGTATGAGATATAAATTTAGAAATCAGCATCATTTTCTCACTTACTTGTTACGTGGGTTTTTTTGCCCCCCAAATCCATTTTATAGCTTCAGAACAGCAAGTGTAGCATAGAATAAGCTAAATTAAGTCTGTAGGGAGTCTGCCTCTACAACTGATACAGCTGGAACAAACAGATAATCTTTAAGGCATCTGATTTATCTTTGGTTCTGAACTGCAGCCTGTTTTTTTTTTTTTCCCAGCTCTAATCAGTAGTAGCGTAAAATATATTTTTCCTCCTTAAAAGACTTTCTTCTTGCATACTCCTAGACTGCAGCGCTTATAGCCATGTTAATACTGCCACAAAGAGATCAGTCAGAGTTTAGGACCCAGAGCCCTGTTTAAGGCTTACGGGATGTGACAGCTGACTGAAAATCAATGAAGTGTGATTTACCAAGCGTCATAATGAGGGCAAGATAAGGCTAGAAAGGTGCTGCCTTGCTTTGCAGACTCAACTCTCTGCTTCGATTTTTAACTAGATTGTTTTAGTCCGCTGCAAAGATGAGACCGATTTGCTAATGAAGACAGAAGATCAGATTTAAAGGAAAAGCCACGGTGGTGCCCATGCTTTGCCTAGTGCTCATTGCGCTGTGTCTGAGCCACTCAGGTAGGTGTGATTTCTTCTTCTTCCAAGCTGAGCTGCAGGTGTTCAAGTTTTTTTTCTGTTGGCCGGTTAGCTGCTGCTTTCTCAGATATGGTGAATGCTGACTTCCCTTGGTCATCCTCTGAACACTGTGTGAGTAGCAGAAGAGGGTTGTATCAGTTGCTGCCTTTGTATTGCAACCACGGTCAGTTTGACATCTAGGTTTTAATAACTGGTGGTGGGGTAATTGCTGCCTAGAAATTAACAAAAAATCCTAAGCTCGAATTTTGGCTGCTAAAGGGAATTAAGGGAGAATTTCTGTCACCAAGAGAAAAACTGAAGTGCTTCAGGCAAACTGATAAAAGGCTAAGTGTCTCGTCTGTGCTTATTGGGGTGTTTTGCACATTTGTTTAGCAGACTTTCTGCCCCAGAACCCCTGTCCTGCACCCATGGGGAACTGCTACTTAGACATATCACAGAGAGAGACAGGAACCGCGGGGAGTGGGGGAGATGGCAGACAGTGCTTGAGTACTCGAATACATGTTAGCCTGCCAGGGAGCTCCCCAGTTTTTGCCTCTCAGTGCATCATATGGTAGATTCAGGGATGTATCTGTCCTATGGCTGCTTCTCCTTTTTTTTTTTTTTTTTCAAAGGCAGTGCTACTTTGTTCAATATTTTCTCCATGGCTTTATCTAGTTTAATAATAAAGTGGGGCTTGGTCAAAGGAACTGTTAGGCTATTTTCCCACATGATATTTCTTATTTCTCATTAATAACTTCTGCTTTTAAACTGTCTTTGTGCAAGTACTGAGGCTGTCTTACAGAGGCAGCAGTCTTCTTCCTTCTGATTTTCTTCTTTGTGAGACTCCTCAAGTCTTTTTCACTTTTTTGTGGCTTCCTCAGCAGTTGAGATTCAACATATCCAGCCCCAAGCCCAACTTTACCACCTGTCTTCTATACCCACTTGCAGCATTAGGTACCTGAACTTTATGTGAGATGTGGGCTGTGAAATGGCACCATTTTCTTTTGAGGGAGGTCATACACACCCACGGACACAGAGGGTGTGTGGCTGCGTATATGTGTGCAGGATGTCATACTCAAATAAATGTTAGAGCAATAATAAAATTGCTCAAATAAATTTCAGAGCAATGTATTCTGGCAGTAAGACGGAGCTGGTTTTGATCATGCATGTTTTGGGGTTATGGATTTTTCTATTAAATTGCTTTTCTGTTAAATTTCTTGTTTTTAACAACCATACACCCCTATGAATCTCCTAAAGGGAAAGCGAAATGTCTAGGAGATGGAGTCTCTGCAAAGTCTCTTATAGTCAAGGGATTGGACCTGTGAGGTTGTGGGTAGTTAGAGGGGAGAAGTGTGTTCTTTGTCTTCCTTTGGCTGCAGATGCAATACCCGTCTGCTGTGTTTGGGCAACCAGTCTAGTTTCCTAGGACAGATTGCAGACACTGCTGTGGTGGAGCTAGGGTCTGGCATGAGAGTAAACCCTGGAACAAGCAGAAGGGGCATTTGTGGAAATAGCAGACCTCAAGGGCTTGTAAGTGACAAGACAGAGTGTGGCCCTATAGAGGACTGCTACAAACTGTGCTGACAGCTTGAGCCATTCCTGGCTCAGGGATGCAGCAGGTAGAAATGAATGTGAAAGGTCCCTCTGATCAGCCAGTCTCTACCTGCCCAGGGCTTGGTAACCCCACCACACCTGTATTGCAGATACAGAGGACAAACACAGCTTGTGCTAGAGCATCTGACAGTAAAGTTGTTATCCTGTGAGTGCAAACACTAGGTTTCACACTTTATAGCTCCTCAAAGAGGAACGGTATCTTGCTGTGGCTGGAAGTGGGGGATGACAGTGTTGCTTGGACCTTGTGCTATCCTGAGAGGACCCAGAGAGCATTAAGGAATGTTTTTTGTCCCATGGAAAGCACTGTTATGAGATCAGGGCAGTTCTTCAGCTGTGTTTCTTGCTGCGAGGTCTAGCCCTGTCTGCAGCCTCTGACAGACCCTAACTGAGGTGGAGGAGGCTGCACAGCCTGTCATGCTCAGGAGATGGGTAGCAGCTGCTGGGGAAGGGGACATGGGCAGAGATAGTGGTCCATGGTCACACCCTTTCCTCCATGTAGAGGCAGAGCATGACTCTCTGCCTCCAGTTTTCAAAACCGTCTGTGTTTGAATGCCCTTTCTCTCCATGTGGCACAGGGACCCTGCTGGGGGCTGCCTTAATTCTGATCGTTGATGCACACAGTGTGTGAGCATATTGACGGTACCCTCCAGGGCTCTCCCACTGTCAGGTCCTGGCACCACCCCTGGGCCTGCAGACCCCTCCTGCATCTACTTGGCAATCCAGACACAGACGTTCTGCTCACCCTGGCAATCCGGACACAGACGTTCTGCTCACCCTGGGGCTGGCAAGGCACAAGCTGGCCCTGGACAGTGTCCTGTGAGGTCCCTTTTGACTGCTGACACAGCAATATTGACTGTGATCCCTGTTGTGTGGGACCAGTCTTTTTTCCTCCGTGGTGGCTTTGAAGAGAGATAAAATCCTTCTCACCCTTGGTTGCTGTGGTGCACAAGGGAAGAGATGGAGGTCATGTCAGAACCTCAACACCACAGGGAGTGGGGCTGATGTTTGGGAAAGGATGGAGGGTCTGAACTGCCCATCCCCCATCATGGTAGCAAGAGGGAGGGGGAGCATGGTGTCAGTGATTGTGGGAGTCACAAGTCATGCAGATACAGGCCAAGACGTCTCTGTGCTTGCCTGGCAGATCTAGCTCTGACTGCATATCCAGCTCCTATTGCTGCCCAATGGTCTCTTTTTGCTTTGGCAAAAAGTCCATAGAAAATATAAACCTGGTACAAAGTCATCACTGCTCTGATGATTTTTTTTTTTTTTTTAATGTGAATTTGGCTTGGGCTATTTTCCATTCACTTGCCCTGGTTCTGCTGAGAGTCTGCATCTGAATTCCTGCAGAATTCGCTGTTCAAGACAAGACCTGCCTAGAGTTGAATTTTCCTCACATCATTGCTCTGTCTCATTCTTCAGGTCATGGCATTCTCCATGTCTGCTTTCTGGCAATGCCTCCACTCTGTGTTGCTCTCTTTCAGATGTGAATGCCTTCAGTTCAGTTGCTGAAAATGAGGATGCGCTCCTCAAGCACTTATTTGAAGGCTATCAGAAATGGGTCCGCCCTGTGGAAAACTCCAACGACACCATCAAAGTCCTTTTTGGGTTGAAGATATCACAGCTTGTGGATGTGGTAAGTGTTGTGTTAGTAAAACACTACTTTTATAGGCAGTTGTGCCTCCACCTGGGAGGACTGGTAATGTAATTAGCTTTTACCTCCTGACACAAGAAATGCACAGCGATGGTTGGGCAGCAAAACACTGAGCATGAAATGCTGCTGGTGATACAACCTTCTTTCCTCCCTGTCTCCCCTCCACCCCCAGCATGGACTGTAGGACTCATTTGTTTTGAGGGAAATCTGAAGGTCCTTTTTTCCCTATTGTTCTCAGGGAATATGGCCTAATTTCCATAAGGTTTTGAACAATCCATGCCAGACAGTCCTTGACATCTATGTTGCAATTTAATGACAAGACAGCTACAGGAGGGGACTGAGGAAGAGTAAGAGCTGGTTGGACATTATTCATTCCAAGCAAGCTTGCATTGATGCCAAAGGTAGTTCAAGTCTTAACCCAGCTGGTCACTAAGATAAAACTCTAGAGGCAGCATAGCTAATCCTCTGTTTCTGCTCTTGTGGAAATTTCCCCTTCTCTTTCCGCTGGAATGTATGGTGGAATTTTCACAATGCCCAGTGGTACCCACATAACAATGTGCTCCTTATATCCCCCAGCCCCTGGTAATGTCCCCATGTGCTGTGGAAAGGACACTAATTTTTTGCTTTATTTACATGTTTAGGATAATGTTTCAATTTGTATCTTCCCAAACTCACTACAGGCTGAGCAGTGTGGGGAGATGAGCCATCCTATGAGCCTACAACCATGTGCGACCTGATACCACTTGCTGGCTGAGCCCTGGCTGCATCCTGGGTCTTTGGCATATGATTCCTTTGAGCTCCTGTGAAATGCCGGACCTCAGTTTTCCAGACTCAGAGGCTCCCAGTGATAGCAGAGACAGCACCTAGAAAGTCAGTCAGTTTCCCTCAACAGTGACTGAAGAACCCAAGCCCATGGAAACAGGACCATAGGGATCTCCTCATCTTGGCACAGGGTTGGACTCGGCAGGTGCAGGGTCTGTTTCTAATGTCTGGTTTGGTATTGCAATCTTCTCTCCCTTGTGTCGCTCTAGGATGAGAAGAATCAGCTGATGACAACCAACGTGTGGCTGAAACAGGTAAATTAGACCACATCAGACCTCCCTTTTCCCCATGGGAGCTGAGCTGAGTAGCCATCTCAGTTTGCTGCCCACTCTGCCTTCTATCCCATTTCATGATGCTGAGTGGCCAGCACCAAGATACCTAACCTCAAGTTTTTACCTCACTCTTCTCACTTCAGCCTACGTATGGAGACAGAAAGGCAGGCAAGGCACCTTTTAAGACATAGGGTACCCTCTTCTCCTGACCTGCACCCCAGCTGTGTGCTCAAGCCAGTATTTATTTCAGGGAAGCGACACAGCTGGTACTGCAGTGGCTATCCCTGGGATGTTATATGTGCTCTGAGGGACTATCCTGTCTCATACTTAGAGGCCACACAAGTACTGTCTCTCTTGCCTGAGCCAAGAGTTGTGGCTTGGACATTTTTCTTCATTCCTCAGCATATGTAAAGACAAAAAGAGGCCAGTATGTTACACACACACACACACACACCACAGACCTTTTCCCATTAAAAGCTGTAGCAAATTAATAATATCTCTCTATCATAATTGCTTCTGGAACTGACAGTGATTTATACAAATGAGGGAAAGGCACAAATTGACCTGTTAGGTCTCCTTTCTTCTTCACTCCTGAAGAACACTGTTTTTGGTTTAGGTTACATTGCACCAGTTTATTGACCTTGTGACAATTATTTTAAGTCTCTCAGCCTTGTGAGTATCTGTAAAGATGTCAGCTGATCCTGGGTAGAGGACATAAAAAACAAGCCGTACTTGAAATCATGCCATGAGGAAAGGTTCTTGGGGGTTGCTGGGCTGGTGGATGAGAAATGTGTCTCAGTTTTTGTCTGGGTACTGTACTGCTGCAGGAGTGTGAGATTCTGGCTGGAGCAAGACCCCTAAAACCAATATGAACACTGCATGTAAAGGTGATCTCGCCCTTGAAGAGGGACTTCCCCTCACTGTGGGGAAGACAGAATTTTCCCCTTTTGCTGGAGAAATTTCTCTCTGATCCAAATACAATTGCTGGGAACCTGCCCTGAATTATCTGCAGTATTACAGTTTCCCCACCTTTAGCTGCAATTGTAGAGCCCTTTTTGTGCACAAGGCCACATCTTGGCTCCCTTATTTTGAGTACCCACTTGCATCAGACAGCAGAATCCTTCTGTAAAGGACCCTCATCTGCCCTTGTCTGTCCTCTCCCCTTTCCAGCCCATTCTCCTTGCAGGCTGTAGCACCCACCTTCACCTGCAGGTCCAAGCCCTGTGCACTGTAGACACACTTATTTCTCTGGAAGCCTTTGGAATCCTCAGATTTTAGCCAGGGCAGCTCCTCAGGGAAACTCAGAACTGTGATTTCCCAGAACTGGGCTTTCTGGAATTGTTACCATTTCTAATATCACTTCTCCATCTAATGAGCTGAGAACATTAAGAAGGTAATGCAAAGGGAGTGGAAAATGAGGCACAAGGTGTAGTTTTCATACAGTATAAGTGCCCTTAGGAGCTCCGGCTGAGCACTAAGTACCTGTGCCCGACCCAAGTGTCCTGCTGTGGAAGTTGTGTGTTCATGTAGGCCCAGCTCCCTCAGTTTTTCCATGTAAGAGGGATGATCCAGTCCCCTCATCATCTTTGTTACCCTTTTGCTGGACTTGCTTTATCCATGTTTTCTTTGTTCTGAGGAGCCCAGAACTGGACACAGAACTCCAGATGTGTCTCACCAGATGTGCTGAGTAGAACTCCAGATGTGCTTCCAGATATGCTGGGTAGAGGGACAGGATCACCTCCCTTGAACTCCTGGCAATGCTCATCGTAATGCACCCCAGGATTCCATTGGTCTTCTTGGCTCCCAGGACACACTGCTGGCTCATGGACAGCTTGTTGTCCACCAGGATCACCATGTCCTTCTCCACAGAGCTGCTTTCCAGCAGGTCACCCCCAGCCTGAGCTGGTGCCTGGGGTTGTTCCTCCCTAGGTTCCAGTATGAAACCTTGTGGGACACCACCAGTGACAGGCTTCCAGCCAGACCCTGTGGCACTGTTTACAAGCTCTTTGAGATCTGCCATTCTGCCATGTCTCAATCCACCTCACTATTCACTCATCCAGTTCAAACATCCTGAGTTTGCCTACAAGGATGTTGAGAGAGAGACAGTATTGAAAGCCTTGCTGTAATCAAGGTAGACAATATCCAGTGCTCTCTCCTTGTCCATCCAGGGAGTTGTTTCATCATAGAAGGCAATGAGGTTGGTCTCAAGCATGATTTACTTCTAGTGAATCCATGCTGATTGCTCCTGATCACCTTCATAATTTCTCAGCAAGAGTCTTACTTTTCTTGGATAAGCAAATCTTAAACACAAGCATTTTCTTTTCCTTTTTTTTTTGTTAACCTCAAACATCCTGGTGCTCAAGATGGTGGGACTTGATACACAAGCAGGCTGACACACAAGGTTCAGAGGAGCCTTTAGTGGTTGCTGAGAAAGTGTCTGGATTCAGGCAAGCAATGAGGTCTACTAGCAAGGGCCAAGAATCTGAGTCTAGTGTTTTTTGTTCCACTAGCGGTGGGTTAAACTCTTCAATGACAGCACAGAAATGGAAACTTGGTAGAACTGGAGGAAGGGGAGAGCAATTGCAGTGTCTGGAGCAGCTTGGAAAAAATGGAGAAGAGAGGGAAAAAGCCTTATGCATCTGCTGCTATGGTTTGTGTCAGCATAGCCCACAGGGAGATTCCTGTTTTAAACTGCTCATCTTCCAAGTCTGCACACAGCCTATTTTCTGCTCTAGTAAGAAGAAACAACCATTTGCCTTGGAGACATGAAAGAGCACTTTAGCTGGAAGAGAAATCAATGCAGAGCAGGGGGAAAGCAAGGAGTATTGCAGATGGAGCAAATAACCCAGGCCAAGGGGCTGCTCCAGTTCAACTCCAGAGGGATGATTCTATCTCCAGGTGGCTCACAGGGTATTTGCTGCTCTTGTGTTAGGGGGCTACAAGATGACTGTGTTGGTTGCTGCTCAGCCTTGACTGTCCCCTTGCATGATGTATGTTTCCAGCCTAAGTCCCATTGTACTATTGTAGGAAGTGTCCAGGACATAGGTGAGACTGTGACCACGTAACAGCCTAGGCTTCTGGAGACATCAGAGAAAAGATAATGCTGAAAGTGGTGTACTCTGTCCCTGATTCTGAAGCTACAAGCAGCAATGGCCCCTCTTCTCTTTCCACACCTGAACAATAACAAATGTCTCTAGTATAGCTGCAAAAAGCATGCGGAATCAAAGAAATAAGAAGGGAACCATATGGAGAATTAATAGACAATATTGCTTTTTTGGTTCATCCTTAAGTCGTGGAGGAAATTACCCAGTGAAGGCTGAGACCTCTGCATCCCTGGAGATCTCTTAGTGCTGCAGCTAATGGAAACTGGCTCATCTTCCACTTCTTGGTATTGACCACAGTCTACAGCTCTTGCAGGACATTGCTGCTATTTCTGTGAACAAATTAATATCCTCATCAATAATGAACAAGGATCAGAGAGCTGATTTTCCATTGCCTTTCTGTGGAAATCTCCAGGTTCTTGGAGCCACTTTGTTATGACCTCCCTGTCTGAAAGTCCAGAAAAGGAGAGAAAAATTATTCTAGAGTTCAACATGATGAAAATGGAGAGGATTCTCCCTGCTTTTGTAACCAAATACTTTACAATAACATCAGTAGTCTCCAGGTCTTTCTGATGAAAGACAAATTTCCCTTTTTTTTTTTTTTTTTTTTTTTTTTTTTTTTTTGCAAGGACAGTGTACAGATATTAGGTATTGTATTCCAATTACTTGAAAAAGCCAAGTCTTCACTGAGAATTAAATTAGGCCACCTGTACTCATTTGTATGCTAGTACCCACACCACCTAGGGTCCATGGGGTCTTCCATGGGGTCTGTGCCAGCCAAAACCAGCTTGGGCTGCTTCTCAGAGGGAAGGAAAGCTGCTGCACTAAAGGGAAGTGGCTCCTTCATTCTAGACTACTCTCAGATGGGCTGTGCAGGATGGTGAGTGAAGTGAGAGTCAAGTACTCTCCAGAAGTACTGGATTTGAGGTTGCTAGCCTCAAAGGGATGGGTTCCTGGGTCTCACCTGTGTCTGGAGGAGCAGTGCTTGTGGGGATAATTACCTCCCAGCCATGCCTGTCGGGCACCCTCTCTGCAGCTGAGCAGCCTCATAGCAGGTTCTGCCTGCTGTGCTGTGCATGCAGCTGTTGAGGCACATGTGGGGGTGAGGAAAGAGGCTGCTGCTTATGAATGGGAACAGAACTCTGCTGTTTTGTTATAGGAATGGATTGACCACAAGCTGTCCTGGAATCCAGATGAATACGGTGGGATCACTGCTATCCGGGTCCCCTCTGAGTCTCTGTGGCTTCCCGACATAGTTTTGTTTGAAAAGTGAGTAGCGTGGCTCCTTGCTCTGGGCTTGGGCAGAGCTTGGGCAAGGCACGTCAGCTACTGTGAGGCTTGTATGTGCTGTCAGAAGGCTGCTTCTTTAAGCAGTGTGAATGTTGTGCACCTTGTGCTCCAGGTGAGGGATAGAAAGCAGAGCTCAAATGGGGTACGACTGGGGCAAACATAATCCTGAACTTGGTACTGTTTCTTCCTGTCCAACTCCCAGTGCTGATGGACGTTTTGAGGGATCCCTGATGACCAAAGCTATAGTGAAGTACAATGGAGTGGTGAGCTGGACACCACCGGCCAGTTATAAGAGCTCCTGCACAATGGATGTGACCTTCTTCCCCTTCGACAGGCAGAACTGCTCCATGAAGTTTGGGTCGTGGACATATGATGGCAATATGGTGGACTTGATTTTAGTGGATGAAAATGTAGACAGGAAAGACTTCTTTGATAATGGGGAGTGGGAGATCTTAAACGCCAAAGGTATGAAAGGCAACAGGAAGGATGGGCTGTACTCTTACCCATTCGTTACTTACTCCTTTGTATTGAGGCGCCTCCCATTGTTTTACACTCTTTTCTTAATAATCCCTTGCCTGGGATTGTCTTTTCTAACTGTCCTGGTGTTTTACCTGCCTTCAGATGAAGGTGAAAAGCTTTCATTGTCAACTTCAGTTCTAGTCTCCCTCACTGTTTTCCTTTTAGTGATTGAGGAAATAATCCCTTCTTCTTCCAAAGTCATCCCTCTGATCGGTGAGTATCTGCTCTTCATCATGATTTTTGTGACCCTCTCTATCATCGTGACTGTGTTTGTTATCAATGTCCACCACCGATCCTCAGCAACTTACCATCCCATGGCACCCTGGGTTAAAAGGCTCTTTCTCCAGAAGTTGCCTCGTCTGCTCTGCATGAAGGCCCATGTAGATCGCTACTCGTTCTCAGACACTGAAGAAAAGGGAGCCACCTCGAAATCAAAGTTTCTGGGGAAGCAGAGATACAAGCAAGCGAAAGATGGAGAAAAAATTATTATTGCCTTTCTGGAAAAGGCAGCTGACTCCATTCGGTACATTTCCAGGCATGTTAAAAAGGAGCATTTCATCAGACAGGTAGGTGAAGGGAGGGCAAGGAGGGAATCACACTTTCCTTGACAGCAGTGGCTTCCAAGCTCTTTCCTTTTCTGCATGCTTTTCCCTTTGCCTCTTCCTCCTGCTCTCCTGTGAGACATATTCGTCCTCAGACCTTGATAAATAATATGTTTATTGAGACAACACATAGCTTCAAGGAGAAGCGTATTGTTCTGTGAGAGTCCCTGCTCTTTACAGAAGCAAGAGACTCTAGTAGCTTCTCCTGGAGGAATTCCTGGTTTGGGTTTATTTGAATAACCTTGTCCTGTGTAAGTTTGGAATACACACAAATCTGGAAGCCTCTAAACTCATATGCTCAAAAATGTAACTTTTGCACTTACAGGCAATCTCTATGGCATTTGCCAGGTGTCAGTCCTGGCCTCCCAGCACATACTGTGCACTGCATAGTTGCTCTATTTTGAGTGAAGGTATTCTAGATTTTCAGTAACACCTGTTTAGATTAGCTCCCTACTGCTATCCTTCCCCTCTCAATGAACCTCCTGGCTTTTAAAATAGCAAGTTACATGTTTGCAAACAATGAATCTCATGCAAGGGTAGGACAGTAGAGCAATGCAGCTGGCAGCATTTGGAAAGACTTCTGTTAGCATCCTGCTAGCAAGAGCTAGGGCTTTGTTTAAACTGTGCAGAGAGGACTACAGTGGAAAGAAGAGCAGTAACATGTAGTATGTGAGCACATACTGTCCATGACTAATACCTGTTTGAAGCTGAAATAATTTTTAAAAAAAGGTCCCTTGAATCACCTTAATAAATTGCACTTTTCTGTATGCATAGTTGTGCCAGCACTCACCATTCAAAATTCCCCTCCTGAGTGTACCCAATCTGAGTCAACAAATCACTTCAGCAAACACAAATAAATGGAACTGCTTGTACTGGAATCAATGCTTGTGTCCAAGTGCTGTGTCAGAGCCTCATCCTGGCATTTACAGGGAGATGCAGGTCTGTAAAAAGAAGTCCAGTTCACTGGAAAGCCATCCTCAAAGCTAAGTCTGTAAATTTTCATATATGCACTTAACTAAAAGCTTTTGTGCAGGCTGAGGAAGTCTCATCACCATGTGCATAGAACTATGGAATTGCTTTGCGGGTTTGAGTGATTTGCAGCTATGAGTGCTGAAAAGGGGATCTCTATTAGTTTTAGGCTACCACATACTACAAACATCTAATTTTAAAACCAGATTTGGGGAGCTGAAATGTATGTAGCAGTATCAACACAGTACCAAGCTTGTTACTATTTATGTTCCCTCTATCCTTCGCAGGTTGTACAAGACTGGAAGTTTGTAGCTCAAGTCCTGGATCGGATCTTCCTGTGGTTATTTCTGGTGGTGTCAGTGACGGGTTCAGTTCTCATCTTTACCCCTGCATTACGGATGTGGTTGAACAACACTTTGTAGAAAACACTCCCTCAATAACATACAAGTACGGTGCCAAGGGACAGTGGTGCCTTGTAGCTTGGTCTCTGCTGTACAACAGGGGAAGCAGCAGCAAGAATGAGGGAAAGTGATGATGACAGTGGGCATTTATTAGTGTTTTCAATCTTAATAATAACTCTACCAGTTACAGATTTTGCTGAAATCAGAGAAGAGCTTGGTACACAGCCAAGGTCTAAAGTGAACTGGGGTTGCACAACTGAGTTATCATTATTTTATTGTTAGTTTGGTTATATTACTATAAAAGCCAAGATTATTAGTTAAAATTGGAAATAGAAGGTGTTGCAGAATCATTATATTTAAAAGGCAGATCTGCCAGTTAAAATGCTACATTGTAAAAGAAGTTACAGTAGGAACACAAATCTCTACTTGGTTTATCTCTGTTTCCAATTAAAAAGCAGTGTAAGTGTCTACAGACTGCTTTATGCATGTGTCAGAACTGGCAATTGCATAGCATGTGTCTCAGAAAAAATATAAATACTTCTTAGATGGGATGTTCAAAACCTTGACTGTTTAGCCTCACCTTGCTGTAGGATCAGCTCCACAGCAGCGGAGCCTACCACTGCCCACCCACTACTAGCCTTTATGGCATGCACACTTCATCTCTCACCTCAGCCATCAGGAAGCTACAAGGTATTGCCCACTTTGCAGTATTATTTGCAACTTTGTTTGCTGCTCTGTAGCATACCAGAAGGCTGACAAAATGAGGATTTTTCTCCATGCTCCACATTTAACTATTATTCCTTCACTTGCTTGTTCACAAGTGGAAGATCACCTAAGTGAAGGTGGCTGTGCTATTCCATAAGGCAACAGTGATACTTCTGAAATATTCAGCTGGAGGGAAGCTGCAGACATCTCTTTTGGCAGATGAAATTTTGGTTGTTGCCGGAGTAGGGTTTCTCTTGAGAGCTATGTGGTGGGCTGGTCACCAGGAAGATACATTTTTAGATGTTGGCTTGTCCATGTTTCCTAGGCGATTCAGAATTTCATTCCTTTGATTAATTTATCCTTTTGCATGATTAGAAACAGCTCTTAAAAGTGTTAAATAAGTGAGATGTGACAGAAAACACCCAGGTGAAACTCTTCAACACAGGAATGAAGCTGTCACTACTTTTGCTGGGGCAGTGTTTTCCAACATGGGGTGCTTTAGAAAATCCCATTCAGACCTTGCAAATATTTTCAGGGTTAGCAAAGGATTTGGAGATCCAATTTTTGACAATCTAAATATGTGTTAAAGTTTTAGCTAGCCTTGATCCTGTCTCTCTACAGATGGACGTTAGAAACTGTTAAAAATACATAGAAGTGTTGTGCTTGGATTGTGCATGCACACCAGACCTCCATGAGTTAATGTAATCCTGTCATGTTGTGTTAATGCAGAAACTTCTGTTCAATTGTAGAAATTATTATTAATATTATTAATAATAATATTATTAATAAAGATGTATTTAGTAAATGATTCCTGGGGTGTCCATACACTGGGGTTTGCTGTTCGTTTGTTGTCAACAAATCTAGACTGTAGCCCATTTTAAAAGTTTTGTCCCAAATGTATTCAAACAGAGGGGTTTTCAGGTTCTTGGAAAGTCCTTATTACTTTTTAGCTTTCTCAGTGAGTTTGAGCAAGAAGCATTCAGACATGGTTATTATATTGCTGGAATAAACTCATTTAGTTTGGCATATAGAGAGAGATCTCTTAGCATAAGATACTGCCATAAAACTTGACCATTAAACCATAAAACTCATACACATTGACCATTCTATCAGTTGCTCCTTTCCTCTTGCATAAAGTGCATTTGTGCCCCTAGACAGTACTGTGAAATAGCTGTAGAGCCAGGAAGCTTTTCTTTCCAGCGTTTCCAGTCTTTTGAGGTCCACTATTGATAGGTATTCCCTATGAGCACTGCATCCAGGAGGCTGCCCGTTAGCCATGACAGATGACAACCTCCTCTCCTCAGGTGTCCATCTGACAGATGGTCCTGTCTCCACCATGCAACACTTCCGGTTGCCCACCCGCAGGCAGCACATGGCTCTGTCTCACACGTCTGTGTCTGATGCCAAGATGCTTTTTCTGGCTTATGCTGGTGAACATAGCAGAGCTCATGTGTTGGAGATGTATGAAAATTGCAAAGGTATGGCTTCTGGCCTTGAGTCTTCCTAGCATTGCATCTGGTACTGCTACATCTGTAGTTTCACTACTCATTCCCTTGTGCTCCCTGATCCTGAGCTTCTCTAAATCTCTTTGCTGCTGGCCCACAAAAGCATTCACCATGTTCCCCACAAAGGTCTGCCACTAAAAACACAACTAGGGAGCACATTTGGGCTGACAGTCCTGCAGTGGGGCCTTCCCTCTGCTCTACCTACTTGGCCTGTGGATGACAATATTGCAAATCACAAGTCTTAACAAAAAACCAGTAACCTTCTGCCTTAATATTGCCTCAACCTGTGCGGCCTCACTTTCTGGGAACTGGTTTGCTGAGACATTGGCACTGCTTTTGGCACTCACATATATGACCCACTCACCAAAAGATAAATATGAAAAACTCTTCTGGGCCTTTTAGCGGAGGTAAACTGGAAGAATGGTCTCCCTTGGGAAGAGAATGTAAAGAGATGTTGAGCTGTTTAATTGCTTCTGTGCTTTTAAAGTTAATTCATAGATGCCGTCACTCCCAAGGAGAGGAGAATTCTTGCTGCCAGTGGTACACTCATCACTGAGGCATATTAATAAGGGATGTTGCTGATGTGACTTTGGAGCTGATGGGGTGAGAATAGACCTTTTCTGTGGCTGTGCACAATGTGTGACCCAAGTCAACATCTGGGATGGCACCAGCTCTAGTTGTAACTTTTCTTGTTATTTAATTTAGAAGGTCCCCAACCTTCAACAAGAGTTGGGCAAGCAAAATTGTCATTTTTGTGTGGGCTCTTCCATGTCTTCTTGCAGGGACACACCTACTGCAGCCTTCTTCAAGGTGACAAGCTGAGATGCCTCTTGTATTCCCCATCTCCCCTCTCAAGTACTTTCACAAAGCTGGCAACAGTACATTGGGTTCCCAGTAGTGAATGTGTCAAACATGGCTGAGAATTGCAAAATATTGCTCCAAAAGTTACTGAGTTGGAGAAAGGAAGGGTAAATAGTGCACTAAGAAGAGACAGAAGATGACTTTGTAAATCAGGGATTTTGCTGAAGTCAGATTATTCACTGTGGGGTTGTAGCTGTCATGTGTAAGAGACCAATGCAATGCACCTTCAGCCACAATATTTTCATGGTTTGGATAGTCATAGAGTGTAACAGGGAATGCTGGCAGTCAGATGTTTTTTCTGTAGAAATGAAGTTTTTAGGTTCAGAATTCAGCTCTCCTCTTCAAATTTCCTTTATTTTCCCTCACCTTCTTTCTGATTAAAGACCCAGTAGTAGCATCTATAAACACATTTACAACAGGAAAATCTAAAAAAAACCCCCAATTCTTCAAGAAGGTGTATCTCAGGAGTGACATTTAATTGACAGACTGACAAAATAAACCATGCTTTTTCATACATCTGTCTGTCAGTTGCTACATCATTGAACAACATTCAGAGGATTACAGAAAATAATAGTTTTCTTCTACTTGTTGTTCTACAATAATGACTGGGTGAATTAAGACAGTTATATTCTTGTCATTCTGCCTTTATCTCTAATATACACACACTAATTCATTCCTATTCTCTTTATTATGAAACATCACAAAAGAGTAAAAGGCCAGTCAGTGACTTCAGAAACAGGGAGTCTTACTTTCCAAGGATTGGTGATGTTCAGAGCAGAGACTGATGCATGGCAGACACTGAAAGCACTGCACTGACACTGTACAGTTAAATTTAGAGGCTCTTATAAGAGAGAAGGGCTTTGTATTCTTGGAGCCACTTGGTTTAATTGTAGTGGTGCCTTTTAAAGAAAAACCATTCACCACAAAACTTACAGGAATCTAAACAAATGAGGGACTTAAGGGTAAACCACCCACATTTTATAGAAACCACATCAAGAACACATCTACTAAGTGTTTCAGGAGGAAGCACACTAGGATTGAGACCTGGTTACAGAGCAGCAGCCTCAGCCCCACAGGACATGGCCCTAAATTTCAGGTTTGCACACACAGCACAGACCCATGAGCAGTCAGGAAACAGAACACCGCTGCACAGCTGTTTGAAACAGGGTGCTCAGCTTTGCAGAGGATTCATGGTATCCATCCTTCTCCTGCTGGGATATGCATAATTTAGGTTGGCCATGGGTTTTAAAAACACAAAACCTCAGATCAATACAGTGCTGTCAAACCAATTCTGTCTATGACAAGTAGCTAAGCAGGGACAAACTCTTCTCTGTTGGGTTTATGTCTGAGCCTGAGCAAGCAAGAGTTTTCAGAGCAGAACCTGTGGACTAGGACCACTGTTCACCTGATGACATATGTGGCTTGGAAATCCTACTGAAGCTCATCAAGGTCTTGGTACTCACTATCAGGAAGTAAAGGGAACTTTGGTCACATGGAAAAGTAAGTGGCAGATCAAACTAATTTTAAAAGATTTTAGAAGCACAAAGTTTTCAAATGTGTATGACTCACACGGTAACCACATTCTAACATTAAGTCCATTTGTCATCAAATATGATTAAATGCTTAAGATCTGTCTGATTTCAAACATAAATGTAAACACATACTTTATTGTTCTGGGAACCTCGTGGCTGGGTGCTGATGAGGTGGTGAGCAGAGGCATTATGTTAGAGGAGAGAAATAGAAGGTAAATTTCTGAACTGAAAATGAAACAAGAGCAAAAGTGGATAAAAAGCAGTGGATTGTTATGTTTCGGCTATTAGTGGCTGGATAAAGAGCCCTACAGTCCCAAACACACAAAGGATTATAAATACCCAGAGAAATACTCTGTCTATCACCATAGCTATGTATTTCCAATCATCTTCCACCTGCAAGAGAATAAAAAAAGAGAATGATAAACTACATGTAATGTTATATACAATCGTGAGTTGACATTATGCAATAGAAATGCCCTTTGTGCCTTTGAATGTAAGGAAGAGAACACATGCAAGTCAGGAATGTTACTTGTCATGCTTATAGTAGCTGCAGTTTTCACTTCTCTTCAGAGGGGGCTGATTTTCTAATGGTATTTTACCACTTTTGAGAACATACAACACTGTTCTAATCTGCTGAATTGTTCTAAATATTCGAGTCTGAGGGCAGCCCATCCATGGTTGTGATGCTGATATTAACAAATAGGACCTGACCATGTGGTGGGTGCAGAGTGGGATGGTTTAACAGCAGGCACAGCCACCATAGCTGCACATCACTGAACCCTGTTGAAGGATTTATCCTGACAGCCCACACAAGACACACTTTGCTATTCTGCTCTGATTTGAAACACTGTTTTGCCAATCAAGCCCTACTGATTTCAGCAAACTGGACACATGGATACATGGACTATGGCAAAGCAAGGGTTCCAGCTGAGCAAACTGCAGTGTCATGTGCTAAGCAGGACAGAGTGGATTTTGCACGGCTGAGAGACAGACCTTAGAATCACATTCAATGGAGTTGCTGTCCTTTAAACTGTACCTTCAAACTTATACTGCACAAGAAACACTGCATCAGAACATTCTCACATACAAACTAGTGACTAGTTAAGAGCTCTCTGCTGAGGGATCTTCCACTTGATTTCCTAATTTTATTATATTTGCCTCCAAGAAAATACTGGCTTTAGGATTTTGATCATGTTGAGGGTGAGGAATACAGCAGCAGGTATTGGGGAGTATAAGTAAAATTTAAGTAGGGTAAGTTTGAAGTTGTAGACTCTCATAATGGCAATTCAGCTCAGGTGAGAAAGAGATAAATAAGGTACGACTTTTCAGGTTTGTATTTAGTTTAATCCTATCCAACCTCCCAAGGCTACTGAGAGGATAGCTATGATAGTCATTAGTGTTGGGTTAAGTGATAGAGATATTATGAAAAAGAGGGTGGCCATGATAGTAACATAACCATGGATAGAAACAGGCTGGTAGTCAGGGAAGAACCTTGGAGGACTTCTGAAAATCAGACATGGAAGCTGTCCTTTGCATGAAAGAACACTCAGGAAGAACTCCCACCGCTATAAATGTTTCTGCAATTTTTAAAAGGCTTTTATTTATATAGGACTAACACATAACGCCACCCATATTGCTTTGTATATCTGGCTGAAGCAGAAGCAGTCTCCAGAATCACTTTTTCTCAGGGCTTGCCTGAGAACAAATCCTGATTTTTCTCTGAAAAGGGAATTTTTTGTAAATTAAAAATTATGCTTCCCATCTCTTGTATGGTCTGAAAGGTAAGATACAAAGCTGCTCATGAACACACTGGACTAAGAATAAAATTTTATGTGGCAGGAGAGATTTGCAAAATGGAAATCAGTGAAACTAGAGAAGGAGGATTTCTTCTGAGCTGTATAATCAAGACAGTAAGTTATTTGGATGACTTAATGGAAAACTTCTTTTTGGGAGACCATCAGAGAAAGCAGCTGAATCAGTACATGAATATGTTTTATGCAGCTGGTGTGATAATGAAAGTAGGGCTGAAATGTGTGGGTTAAGCAAAGCACTAAGGCCATTGGTACTAAGCAGGGCTCAATCCCCATCCTCCTCTACGGTCAAAGATTCCTGTCTTTTGCTTCAGGCTGGCATGTGCTGCATTCTCACTATGAATTCAGTCACTGGTTTAACTCTACTCCTTTATTCAAAACTTTATAGGTTTTGCTTTCAGATGAAACTTCTTCTGCAGGGCATAAAGAATGGGGGAAATAAAGCTGATCTTTAGGTTTCATTGAAGTTGTATGATTTTCAACAAAATATTCTGATAGAAATAATGCATATCAACATTTTCCTTGTAAAGGTGTTGGAATTTTCAATATAAATACAGCAGTATTTAGCTTTGAAATGGATTTTACCATCATAGAGCATCTAAAAAACTTCAAAACCAAAAGAAAAAATTCCATGACAGATCAAAGATATATGTTTCATTAGGTTCTAAACACTTTTATAAATATCTTGAAGTGTCAGAGAATTTCTGCTCCTTATGCGTTCTTGGTGTCAGAAAATCCTTTTGCAGCTTTAGTTTGTGTTTACACAGGATGATATGGCCCCAGAATCCTTTAAATTCCAATGTGCACCATTTTCTATGATAGTAATCCCAAATAAGAAAAACATTTATGACCTCACACAAACAACTCATTTAGATGGTCTTCTTCCCAGGAACTTGTCTTACTGCTTCTGTACCTTTAGGATTTCCTTTTTAGACCACGTCCAGCCCTTTGACCTTCAGGACTCACTCCAAAGGGACTCTGGCAATCAACTTCCTAAACAGGCCAAAGTCTAGCTGCTGAAGGTCCAGTTCTGCTGTCTCCCCTCATAACTTAACCCCAAATTGAAAACTCTTATCATTCTGTGGTCGCTGTGCCCATGGCCTCCAACCGTCACATCTCCCTTCACTAGTCCTAGTGAAGTGTCACTAGTGTCACTAGTGTCACTAATGTCACTAGTGTCACTAGTCCTTCTCTGTTCACAAATGATGAGTCCAGTGGGGCACCTTCCCTATGTTGGCTTGCTTCCTGTGTCAGGAAATTATCTGCCACACAATTCAGGAACCTCCTAGACTGATTCTTCTCTGCTGCATTACACTTCCAGCAGCTTCCTGGCAAGCTCAAGTCCCTCATAAAAACAAGGCCTGGTGATCATGATACTTCTTCCAGCCTCCTGTAGAATTCATCATCTGCCTGTTCATCCTGCCTAGGTGGTCTGTAACAGACTCCTACGAGGACATGAGCCCTGCTGACCTAGCCCCGGATCTTTACACACAGGCACTCCACCCTGTCATCACCACTGATTTCAATACAATCAAAACAAGGCCTAAAGGGGTGGTTACCTCCCTTACCTCTTTGGTTTCGTTTTGAGATCTCATGTTCTCTGCGATGAACTGGACGTTGCTAATGACATCCTTCACCTCTGGAGAGTACTCCATGTGCTCCGCCATCCATCTCAGTGACTGATGGCTCAGCTGTCTTTTGGTGGTAGGGAGTTCAGTTGCCTGATCACAGTGACTGCACCGCTGCTCCTTGTGCAATTTGGTATCTTTGTGTTTGCTGTGCTTTGACTTGCCCAACTTACTGTCTGATACTTTCTTGTTTTTTCTGGAGGTGTTTTTTTTCTGCTGTTCTAGTGGCCTCTGCATCAACAGGACTCTAGGGAGCAGGCTAAGAAAGACAGTTTTTACCCATTTGGGCATTGTGTGTGTCATCGGAGTCCTGTAATGTATATTGAGGACAAACACTGTGATGACAATTGACAGAGTCACAAATATCATTGTGAAGAGTAAATATTCACCAACTAGGGGAATTACTAAAGAGGTGGATGGGATTGTTTCTGTGATCACCAGTAAAAATACAGTCAAAGAAAGAAGCACTGAGATGCAAAGATTAACTTTCTCACCACAATCAGATGGCAGGTAAAAAACCAGCACAGTCAGGAATGAGATGAAAAGACAGGGAATGATCAGATTTATGGTGTAGAACATTGGCAACCTTCGAATATAAAAAGAATATGTTATGTCTGTGTAGATCTCTTCACAGCAGTTATATTTGATATCATGTTTGTAGCCAGAAGCATCAACTATTTCCCACTCACTATTTTCCCAAAAGTCATTCATATCTACTTTGGATCCAATGATCAGAAGATCAATTTTGGCTTTGTCATAGGTCCATGAGCCAAATTTGAGTGAACAGTTCTGGTGATCAAATGGGAAAAAAGTAATATCCATAGGACAGGAGCTTTTAAATATAGCTGGTGGGGTCCAGGTGATCATTCCATCATAGCGAAGGAGGGCTTTGGTCTTGCTTTCAACTTGAAAATCTCCCACAGCACTGGAAAGACAAATGAGGCAAAACCAAAAAAATTACCATGAAAGTAAAATGTAGTGGATGTTTTTATAGGTGCTGCAAGGGGATATTTTTGAGAGAAAGATTCCAATGAATCAATGGATAAAATGAGTCATCATACTTATTATACAAGACAATATCTGGTTTCCAAATTTTATCTGCTGGTACCCGAACAAATTCAATGCCATCATATTGTCTGGGATCCCATCGCAGTTTGTAGTCATTCCAAATCTGAAAGAAGAATGGACAAGGATTATAAAACTTTAAATTATCAACAAATATCTGTTTCTCAGATCTTCCTGTAAAACAGACTATAATAAAGTGTAGCATGTGGAGAAAGGGACAATGGTCCATAAGACAGGAAGGCCATGACCTGGAGAAACACTGGACATGTGTGAATACTGCTCCCATTGATTGCTACTGTCTTCACTGTGATGGGATGGGGTGCCGTCCCATCACAGAGAAGTTGTCATGAACTGCTGGCATGCTGAGATCTCTCCTCTATCGTGTGACATCAGTAGAGAGCCTTGTCTGTGAAAGGTTACCTCCCCACTGCCAAGAGAAAATAGGGACCTTGCTGCAGCACCCCACAGGTGGGAGGAGGACAGCACCAGAGGAGACCAGCACCCCCATGTTTGGCCCACCTGCACAGGAACAGGCAGCTGCTGCCAGAAGACAGTATTGGTTCCACAGGAGCACTGACATACCAGGTCAGGGCAGCAAGGGATGCACAGCAGCTCTCTTGCATTGCTGTCTATTGCCCTATCATGGGGCCATGCTCCATGGTCTCTCACCTATCCTAAGTATGGTATCTTTTACAGAAAACTTTATATGGTGCACAATCAGTGCCTGAAAAAAAATGGTGCAAGTTAGCTATATTTTCTCAGCAGTTTAGGTCCCCTAAGGATCCTTACCTATATAAAAACTATCAGGAACAGTGGAGGTGTGTTCCTTTTTCTAATAAATATTTTGGTGGGGATGACCTAGGACTGCAGAGTGGCATATTTAATCACTCTTTAAGGAATACATCCAGCTCAATTTTCCAGATGAAAACAAACCATCATGAAGTTGGAGAAGAATATATCCCACAGGAAAGAAAGAAGATGTAACTTCTAGGTAAAAAGAATGAAGAAATTACTTTTTCAACTGTGGACCTTCTCCTTATTAATTTTTAAACATTCTTGTTACAAAACAAAAACTTACTCTATAGATGTGACTTACAAATAACAAACATTTAATCATTTCAATGCAAAATACATGAGAAATGCAAGATAGCCACTTACGTGTCTCAGCCACAAATTTGTTTCCATAATCTGATTGACTTCATCCTATAAAGAAACACGGGCATAAATGGTTTTAGTATCCTGAGGTGGCCAAAAACTTAGCCCATGAAACTGGAAAATAGAATTTCACATTTACTGATAGCAGATTTTTTCTAGCATCTTTCAAGAGGTTTACACATTGTACATTGTTGTGTGCAATAAATAATAATAATAAATTAAATAAAACTTTACTGAAAAAATCATGCTCCATAAATATCAGATATACAGAAAGCTGCACTGTTTTGCCAGGCATTTGACTATCTGGAGAGCACACAACCTAGAATTGCTCTGACCTGTACCAAAAGAAAAAGGTTCTTCTTGTGGCTGTGTATTTTGTTGGATTCAGTATTTTAAAAACTCTGATTACACAGTACAGAATTGGTCAAGATTCAAGGAAAAAGACATCTGTATCACAGTATTTTGAATTTTTATGCAAACTCTAGAGAAGATGCACTTGACCAGCACTAAATTAGGTAACTGTTATACAGAGACCTTTTTTTTTACAGTCACTTACTGCAATTGCCAATCAGTCATGAATCAGAAAGGTGATGCTTTGCTTCTTCCACATTGCCTCTGTCCTGCCCAGCATGTTTGCCCCACATCCATTTGCATTCCAAAACATGCAACATTCATCCCCACCTCCATGCTTTAAAACACCAATCTTCCACTTGCCACACTTTTCCCTTACATCATTTTGAAATAAATAGATTGAAAAAAAAGAATGCAAAAAAAGGAGAAGATTTTTCCCCTTAGGGCTACTGGGAAATGGCAGCAGCCCCAGAGGAGAACTGGTCATGTGCTACGCATAACGTGGACACACTAGGTGTCTCTGGAGTGGGCTAGCCCTGTGAACAGTGGGCTTGAACATTTGGTGCTCTGCCCTGGGCTCCACCTGAAGCAGAGGGGTTTGATGCTACAGAGTAAGGAAATGAATCTGTGTCATTCAAACCACTTCTTCAAGCAACTGGAAGAACTCATCAGACTGAAAGAACAGCAAAGGTTTCAGCACGTGCACGTGGACACACATGAAATGAAAGCTAGGAGAGTTGTGTGCAGCCATCACAGTTACATCTCCTGCTTCAGTGATTTGCATGTGTTTACAACCATCCCCAAAGCTCAGCAGTATTGTGTAGTGAGTCTTACCACATTTGTAAGCTGGGTAATGGCCAGTTCAAAATACACTGTGACAGGATCAGATACATTTTCCACCGGCCTAATGAACTGGTTGTACTGGGAGAAGAGTTTGTGAAATAACCGTTCCTCTGATTCGCAGGCTGTGGTATCTGTATTGGTAAAGATAAAGAACAGCTAAGCCAGAGAAAAGAAAAAGGGGGAAAAAGGTGCTGGATAACGTACTAGTCTGTGCTATATTTCTGGACCTTGTGCTTGTGACCATGTTTAAAGCCACCAGAGCACAGAGAGGAGAGGTTGCCAGTACGGTGTCAGTTTATAGCATCCTCCTGCAGAATGCTGGCTACTCCTTGTTTCCTCAAATAGTAAGGTAATGGCTTCAGTGCTTTTGTCTCCTAAGCTGGATTTAGCCTATGACCCTCCATTTGGCCCACCCTGGTATCACACCAAAGTAAGGTGGTGTGAAATACAAGTAGAAATGTGGTTAGTAGTGGTTTAATCTTTGTGCGTCTTCCTGGTAAAACAGGGTGTTTATGAAAAGCATAGCTACTTAGAAATTAAAAGCTTGAGGCTGCAACTATTGTATCAAAATCTCTATCAGGTGATTAGGTGACTACAACGATGCCTCCTAATCTTAAACATTATGACTGCATTTTATCTTAGAAATTGATATTTCGACTCTTTAGATAGCACTATTTTTCTTTGCAGAAAGTTCATTTATTAAGTTTTATGAACAAGAAAAAAATGGAAATATTAATATTTCTTATAGTATAGCATGCATCTATGTAATACAGAACTGTTCTTTGGGAACAAGCAGATCACATCTGTAACCCCTCATTAATGAAGAAAAGACCAGATGGCTTAGAAGAAACAAGGTATGTGACAGGCACTAAGAGGACTCACTGCAGAGTTACGACAAATCCTCCTAACCTGTTACACATAGTCCAAACCTGAAACAGTTATTTTCACAGTGTTAAAGGCTATACACTTTGATTTCAAAAGGAAAATATTAAATTTTATTGGCGCTGGTAACAACAGCTCAGAAGAACAATTTTCTTTAATAACTTTGCTATTGCAATACATTACTGTAATTCAGCACCTAAAATAAAAACACTTTATAAGCTCAAGATTTAGAATTTCTGTCTCATGCTGTGCACAACTGTGTTATCAAAGCTATATGATGATCCCAAAGATATTACTGATACAACTGAGGAAAAATTTGTTTTCAGACTCATTGTAACAAGTTTTTTGCATTAGTCCCAGATTGCACTAGAACACACCAGACAAGTAACCATGATAAGCCTTTATGATTGCAAATATTAAACACAGAAGGGGTTTGTGCCAGGCAGCATGATCTCTGGCACATAAATTTGCAATTTACAAAATTTGCAAAATATCCTCCAGTGAACACAAGGGCCTGTGGATGTGCAGATGTCCTGCAGGGAGACATCTGGTCTCAGTACGCTGCACTTTCATGATTAGATGGTCCTTCCACTGTTCTTGAAAAAGAGATTTCACCTCTAAGGTGATACAAAGCATCCTGAAATTGCAGGGGATTATTGTGACTGCAAGATGAAATGCTGGCTACTGGTCACTTATATGTATGGAAAGAAAATTCTAGTAAAAATTAAAAAAACTTGATGTTTTATTTCGTCCTTTCCACATCATTCAGAGAAGACACATGAATATGTCATGAAGTTTGGATTCTTCTAGATCATGTATTGTTTCCTTCAAAAAAGAACTAAAATTTTTCTTTTCAGATTTCATCATCATCACCCATAGCACTGTGATTAGAAGTACATTACTGTGGGAACATGAAGTCTCATGACTAAAGCAAATGTGTCTAAAATCATGTTTCATTTGAAATTTTCCCACTAGGTTCTTAATAGACACTTGCTTTAAAATAAAGTAAGAAAACCAAACAACTATTTAGGTTTTATCCCATGGTGCTGCTTTAAAAGAGTTTCTTATGCCTTGCTAAGACAAGCAGTATATTTAATGCACACCTTGGTCATCTGCAGAAGTGAAACTTTCAAAATAAATGTGTCCTAAAAGCAAAAAATCCTGCTAAACTCTGTGAGAGTTGTGAACAGAAATGACTGCAACATATCTAAAACACAGATCACAAACAATAGTGAAGAACAATAGATATAGTTCTCACTTTTGAAAGTGTGAGCACTGACCATGCACATCCATACTGTGCATTTTTTTAAGCACTTACAAATTCAAGCACCAAATGAAACTACTAAGAGCCCTAATCCATTTCCATTGTTTTCTAGAAACAGTTTTTCCATTAGTTATGAAACAAAAATTGAGGAGTTTTATATCGGAAAATTAGTATTGTTTTAGCTCTTTTCAAATACTGTTGAAATGTTACAGATTTCAGGTTAGAAATAGCTGGTGGAATCTTTACATTTAATTAATTCAAAAAAACAGAAGCAGAGACAGTAACTAGAAAACATTCTAGAAACTGGTATCAAAGAGAGCCTACCTTTAATCAAGGATGTGAACACGAATGCCCACACACAGAAAGCTGGGCAACACCAACACAGCCGCGTCTCAGGATGCATTGCTAGCAGCAGAACAGAGCTTCCTTTTGAGAACAGAGGTTTGGGGGAAGGAGCGAGAGCCAAGAAGACATATAACCCTCCTGATGGTAGGTAGGCAGTAGAAGGATGGATTTCTGTTTTGCATCTGCAGCAAACTCTGCAGCCTGCTGAGCAGAGCAAAGCCTTGCAGAGTTGCTTTCAGTACCACTAGGCAAGGAGAGCTTATGCCGTGCAGAGCGAAGGGAGTCAGGCAGCATCCGATCAGGTGACTTCACATTCCCAGTCACCCGCACCTCTGCCCCGGGGAGTGTGTAAGAGTGCAGGAGAGAGGAAAGGCAAGACACAGGACAGCCATTATGGAGCAGGGGGAGCATTCACTCAGCCCCTCACCCAAGGGTTAAGAATTCTCATCGTGCTGAAGCAGCTGCTTTAGCTATTGCCCGATAATCACCTGAGTGAGTCTGTCACAATATGCAGAGGTGAAACAGCTTCAGTTTCTTAGCTGAGGACTGATTCTTCAGGTGATAGAAATGGATGTTACATGGTTTTAACATGTCTACCAGAAGCCATACGAACCTTGAAATAAGCACAGCATCAAGTGGTAGAATTGCTTGACAGTATTCTCAGCAAAAAAATCCAAGGCAAGTAGACTTATTATTGCCATCTGACAGGAGCAACTAAGCATACTAAGTTCTTTCCTGACAGTCCAGTCAGCTTGCAACATCAATTCTTCTAACTTTTCTTTTCCCTCGTGCACGCAGTCTCCTGTGCCAGTAATCACAGTGTGAAAATGGAGGAGCAGAATTAAGAATAAAAACCCTACCAGCTGCTGTTACAGGCCAAGTTCTCTGCAACATAGTGTTATTCTTAATCACAGAAGTTAAAAAAACCTGATCTCATTATCCTTTAGAGGTTGATGCATGTTCCCTCCTCAGGTGTTCAGTACAACATGTCCTTGCAACAGGAATGCCTGAAAAGAATCTGTAGGAAAAGGATTTGAGAAACTGAGGGTCCTGTTTAGCTGCAGTGAGGTGGAAGGCACCACAGGTTACTTGGTGCCATCCAGCCTCCCAGAAAGCAGCTCGGACAGGGAATCTCCTTTATGTGTGCTCAACCCAGCATGAACAGATCTGAGTGACTGGATGAATTATTTGATCAAAACAGAAATGCTGCTGCAGTTTCAGCCACTTACATTGTTGTATGAGTGTAGAGAGAAAAAAAAAAAAACACAGAAAATGAAAAAAGGATGCCCTTCATACTACAAAATACAGAGGTCAAGCTGCAGTGCAGAATAAGAAAGTAGTTTGTCATTTATACAAATTGTTGAAGTATGGATAGAAAGGAAGAGGACTGTCTGGAATAAAAAGACTTAGGAATTAGTTGATTGCATATAGAAGATCCCTGAAGTGGACCCATGACAAGGTTTGAGGGATGAAAAGTAAATCTTTAAAGATTACAGTCACCAGCCTTACTCCAGAGCTCATTAGGGAGAGGGAGCCTCCTGCAGAGAGATGAGAAAGCAAAAGAAACAAACCTATGGGTGTTTGGAAGTCTGGGAGTAATTTTCCCTCTCAAAAGCAACAATGTAAGGGTAGACAACAATGCACGGCTATGAGGCATCTCTAAGCTGACGTTAGATATAAATTCTCCTTGCAAATAATTTAAAGATGAAAAAGTGGGTTTCAGCATGGTGATTTGCGTTTTAAGTTTCCATTTTGCAAACATTTTCCTAGGAAAAAAGTAAAAACCACAAAAAAATTCTGCTTTATGCCAAATTTTCCCAAGTTGCAAAGTTTATTAGAATGATGTTAACAGTCCTGGTCCATAAACTTGCAGTTTCCTCACCTTACCAAATGAAGATCACAGTTTCTTCTTGAATTGATATGCCTGTGGTGCACTGTGGCTAACAGAATTACACAGCCATGTGGCATCACAGGATGCCTGTGTCTGGCTGTGGTCATGGCATATGCACTCCTGTTAAAGTCCAGTGCTTCTAAAAGGATGACATATAGTAAGATAGATACAATTTGAAAACAAATTCATTCCAACTTAAAATGTTTTGACATTTTCAAACTTTTTGCTCTTTCCAAAAATGTAACAGGCCAGGAAAACAGGTGGGAGAAGTTAACAGATCAGCACACGCATGTGTGCAGACTGAAAGGTCTTCAGAGGTGAGGGTAATGAGTGCTTCCCCTCCAGAGAGAAGGACAGCAGTGCAAGGCCAGCTGGCAAAGATGATCCTTGCTGCCACACTTGAGGGAAAGAATTGCTTTGTTATGGGGAGCAAGGGACTGGGGAAGCAGGCTGAATTTGGAGGCAATGCCAGTTATCCAGGGAGCAGATGCCAGGAGGGATTGTGCTGCTGAGACCCTGCTGGAGTGGGTGCAGCCTTTAGGAAAAACTGAAGAGGAAGGCAAAGTTCAAACCAAGCCATGACAAGCAGCCGATGAGGCATCCAGATGGAGAATGCAGAGAGACCAGCTGACGTACTGCCTCAGCACAAGGATGCCAGCTGGAAGCAGAGCAAAAAGTTGTGAACCATTGCTGCTTGGGAAGGTACCTAATTTAATCTAACACGAACTGGCCAAAAGAAGCATCAAAATGACAGGCTCAAACAGAAAGCATATATTGACAGGCTTCCATTTTTCTTTTGCCCTCTAGGTGTGGAAGAAGAGGCTGATTTAGTCCTTTCACATGTACTTTTACCCCCAAGCATACATTCACTCAGAAAAAAATCTCTGGTTTCTTTTCTTCAGGTAAGGTGGCTCAGGAAAAAGAGGGTAAGCAGCATGCAGGGATGTACAAAATCTGCACACCAAAAAGGTATCTAGGACATAGATGCACTTCTTAACTGGAACTTGATGTTGTAAAAGCTGCATGGTATTGATAGTGAAAAAAACCAACAATGAGAGGACCCATTTGGAGGGTTGCCTATGCTCCCTGGTGCTATTTGCAATCCTAATGACAGATCCATTTGGAGTCAGGCTCAGGTTTGAATGGCTGATTTCCTCCTCTAGAGCCAAGCAGTCCTTTGTTGGAGAGATGTATCTGTTTGTGAGGATTTGACAATGCAATGGATTAACCAGCAATGGGACAGTTACTAACAGCTCTGTCACAAACACCTTTTGCATCATGAGATACTCATGTTCTGATAATCTGCTGAGAAGCCCCTGTATCCAGTGGAGAAGTTCACAGTCTGTCAACTCTTTGCTAACTACCACCGGCCAAGTGAGTTTGCACTAGGGGCACTTTTCAACCTTTGCTGCTCTGGAAGCACTGTGGGGATCTGAGCCACTTCTCACTGGCTTCTTGCTCAGGTCTACCTATTCATTTGCTTGTGATAACTGCCCTGAAACAGCTGAGTGGGATCTCAGCAGCATTTAATTTTATGTCTACTCTGGTACTTACTGCTTTTGCAAGCAGACAGCTATTAGGGAATCAACCAACTCATCTAGAGCTTGGTCCTCTTTGCATATTCACACAGTGCTTCCTCGGGCTGGGGACACCTACTGCTAGTAAAAAGGGATGCCAGCAGAAGAAAACTGTAATGGATAGTGAAAGAATCAGTCAAGTCCTGCCATCTGACTGACAGTTCTGTAATCAGCCTTGGATATCTTGTGCATTAGCTAAATTAAGGTAAACAGGAAACTTGCTAAAGCTCACAGAAGGGAGATTTCTGAGACAGGAAGGTACTTAAATTGAGCAGGCAATTGAAGGACAATCTCTAAAGGCTGGAACATGAAGCTTCTTAGGTTCTGAGTGATGAAGGAATTGTTTAGCTTGAAAAGTTTATATGGCTTTTTCCATGTCTGTGTTGCATGGGCAATTCATCAGCATGTGAACACTGATATTTCACCTTAAAATGCTCTGTTCTGTTTCATGATATTTGGATACCATCACTTTCCAGACCTTTCAAGACAGTTGACTGTAGAAATAAAGCAGACTTTTCAACCATTCAAGGCTTTGCAGACATTAGGCAGGGAGGCAGAGGCCACCTGTGACAAACCTCTGCGCGAAGTATTTGATCTCAGCAAGCACTGGGCTCAAAGTAGAACTCCCCATGAAACATTTTTCACGCAAGTAGTTGGGCAAAAAGGGTCACAAAGATTTACACCGGCTGGAGGCAAAGCCAGAATTCTATTATTTTGTGTTGTCAGAGTTATCCTTCACCAACAAGTGTGCATCTATTACTAAGGCAGAGAAAATTGTTGCTCTCTATGTTCTCCCATCTGATATCACCCAGATGCTTTCTCAGTTGTTTCTCTTTGGTTACTCCTGCTCTGTTTCTGAAATGCATTCTCCCAGCCCTATCCCTTCTCCCCCACTTCAATAGACAATTGATTGACTGATGGTCTCTCGGTCTGTGTTCTGCCTCTCACCTCCCTCACACTGTATAATTTCCTACAGCTTCACAGAAGCAATACTGACAGCAGTTGTACCTGCCTTATATGTGACAACTCTAGTCTCACAGAGCTAAAAGATTACTATTAACCTGTGTAAGCCTTGAGTGCTGTTGGGATCCACTGTTTTGTTTCAGCTCCTGGTATTACTACAATAAATCAGACTAATAAAGCATTTATCAGAAGAATATTAGGAATCCAACTTTCACTGCCTTGTTGGAAGTCATTCAACTGTCACAGAAGCCCTTCCAGGACACTAATCTCTGCTAAAGTGTTAGTACAGTCCAGTTTGCCAAGTGTCACACCCTGAGCGATATGTTCACACTCCCTGCAGCAAAGCCTGCATCTCACCCATGTGTAATTCCTGGCCTTTGGCCTCTCTCATGCTCTGGAACCTCATATTCCAACAATGTTTGCTCTCTGATCCACCAGACACTGACTAGTGGCTTCCAGTGTGCAGGAGATGTGAAGCATGAGTGGAGATGGAGCTTCAACAACTACTGTACACAGAATACTGTGCTCATGCTGCAGGCATGATCTTTTATACTATACTTTTTTTTTTTTTTTTTTTGGTTAGTCAAATTTTAAGTGATATGTGGGAAGAGGTCTTGAAGCTTGTGTTGATTAGGGTATTTCCACAAACTGAGCACAGAATTTCTTCAGTTCAGTAGCTTGCTTTGTGATAAAGTCCTTCCTTAATTTTTCTTTTGTATTGAAGAGAATTGATTGAACCACAGCACCTCTATGATTGAACCACAGCACCTCTATGAGTCTGCCCCTGCTGCCCCCGCT